CTTAAACTGCTGCTATTACAAATAATTATTATATTTTTTAAATATTATATTATTTATACTATTTATAGTCAAATACGTTCAAAATTTGTGCATTTTAAACGATTTTAACGAAATAATTAAAATTTCTATTTTATTCAGTATTTTTATTTGATCTCTCTTTTTCGTTCTAATTGCATTCTTTTTTTTTTTTCAAAACTAATTTATTTTTTGTTGGCTCGAATTTGCACCCAAAATTTTGGGGTAGTAAGCTTTTTTTGCGTTGTTTTTAATAATATATACTTATATAGCTTTCTTACAATTTGTCAGTCTAAATGTTAAACTTTACATATTTTATGTTAGTGATGAAAAATTTTCCATTCTCATTTGAAAAACCTGGATAAGTCAGGAAATTTTTAAATTCATTTTCTATAGCAACCCTATTAAATAAGTATACATATATTTCACGGATATATATTGATATTGACAGGTGGTAGCAGTGCGGGTAGCGAACGTATTTGCAAGGAACCTATTCACGATTTAAAGTCATGTTCTTCAGCGTCCGAATCAGAGCTGCATAATCCGTCGGTACCATCGATGCCAAATAAAAGTTCCGGCAATGGTAATGGATCGAACGGAAAGAGATCGAACGGAAGTCGCAGTCGTTCGAGTGGTTCCGAACAATCTGTTCAAACAGGAACAGGAAATCAGCAAAATCAGCAAGACTTATCTGGTAGTAGACAGTCATTTCGCATTGCGATGGGAAATCCTTGTGAATTCTTTGTCGATGTTATGTAGATGTGTTGTAAATAGAGAAAAAGAGAGTTAGATACACGTATAATGCAGAATATAAAGCTAAACACATTGTGGATGAATACTTTGAATAATTTTACTTGAGCACGTTAAACCGTCATACTATGCTTGTAAAGTAAAGAGATTATTATACTGATAAACATCTGTGTCGAAATCTTTCTCTTTTTCTTTTTTTAATTATATCTCGGACTTTTTCAATATTTCTGTTTCTGTTTTTGTATTCTGAGATAAAGTAGTAATTATCATGAAACTATCATGCACTGCAATGTTCATGCATGGTTGCTAACGCTTTTCTAATGTTCAAAGTATTTATTCACTAATTCCATTCAGATTCTATATCAGAATAAGATCTAAACATTTTTTTAATTCATTTGTACAGATCTTTATATATCATTTGCATTTTGCATAGCAGCATTTTACCTACAAGAAAAATCTATTTTAATAAAGTTATGTTGAGCTATATTTTGCATGTAACCGCGGTGTATATACATACTAAAATGATTTGAAAAAGTAAGTCTAGGTCGCAAATTTTTTTTAAGAGGCCGTAAACTGTACAAACCATAAGAAATTGACCAATTACATTTGATTATTTTCGTCATACTCGATTGGTATTAGTTAATTTCTTACGGTTGTACCGCTAATTTTACAAGTAGCCTCTTAAAGCAAAGTTGCGGATCTAGAGTTACGTTACAACGTAAAATTCTATTCGAGTAAATGAGCGATAAAGACGCAAACCTATTATTCTATAGTCAAAATGGTGACAAAATTTACAAGTATTTGTTATCCATTGTTCCCTTGCGTGACGCCTCACATGTAAAATTTGACATTTTTTGTTTTCTGTTTCATTGACATTAGTAGTATAAATAAATATTTCTCTAATGTTACTTATCGTTTAATAATACACAAACAATTTTATACGTTAGACGTATAAAATATTTAAAAAGATGTTTTATACGTAATATATTACGATGTTAGGTACATATTAATGAATAAACTTGTATCTCCCTCCGCCCCGAGAGAAATCGAGATAAACATATAGTGTCAAAAGTAAATCGTCCCAAATAATGTTTGCCGTTGTCTTTCTGCATGACGTTATTTTTGAAATTTTTAATAATCCATTTTCTGTAATCTATATATAATATTGCAGAGACGTAATTAGTGTAATAAGTATCTTTTCTATCATAATGTTTTGTTATCGTACACTTACAATTATGCACGCTTCATTACGCAAGTGTAATTATATGGTTCCTTTATAACAGCACGCTCGCACAAGGCATAAAGCACAAAAATGAACATGTAAATAACACATGGTTTACCTCAACTGCAAATAAACTGTTAGAATTTGTAAGAATCCTCTACACATGCATGCACACTTATATGAAAGATATATATATATATATATATT